GCGAAAAGTCATCATTCATCAAATAATTAATTAATTAATGTTTCTTTTTGAATACAATTTAATTTTTTGTTATCATTTTTATTTTCATATCTTTCCCTTCTTATATATATTTTAATAGATTTTTAATTTAAAGTTTAGTAAAATATATCAAAAGTTTACGGTCAAATTGATCGAAGGAATATATAGTCTTTCTTTAATTTTCTTTCACGTCTTCTTTTTTTCAATTGATTTTATCGTCTATCACTAACAAGCGCTATTATTTTTGCTGTTGTATTTTTTACGAATAATGTTTTGTATAAACTATTTTGAAATTTATTTTTGCGAAAATATCAATAGATAAGCGCTGTCAATTATTAAAAAGAGATCAAATACAAAACCGTTTTTAATGTTTTTATTACCTACATATTTTATATTAAACTGTTGCTGCTTTTACATTTTTACCGCAATTTTAAATATTGTGGTCGATATTCCATTTGTTTCATATTCGCCACGATTACTATATGGAATGACACTAAATCAAATAATTCATCTATCAGAGTTTCTGACTAATTAAAATGAGTGGTAACGTTAAGAGAAGTTATTGTCATAAATTCGTTTTCGATATTTTTTAATTCTTAAATAAAAGATTTATTCTTTTTGTCTTTTTTAATTAGATAAGTAATATCTATCTCGTTATATGTTTGCATTTCTAAAGTTTATTTTATCTGAAATATTTTTTGTTTCCAATTGCTTGTTTCAAAACTTTTGATTTTTTTTACCGTTTCGTTGGAAAATGTTGAAAAAATCAATAAAAAGAATTCTATATTAATTAAAGAATCCATATAATTCATATGAAATGTAATTTTAGCACAGTTTGTAGGTACGTGTTTTTAAAGGATGTCAGTTATATTAAATTTACGTCAGTCATATTTTATCGAAAAACAAATTGAAATTGCGAAAGCAAGTCTAATACAAGATTAATCTATTTAATACAGAAATGCTGCTTTGTTATAGTAATTCTGCCAGTCTGCAACGCAATCCTGCTTGAGAAAGGATCGAAAGGACCTCCTCCCGCAGCCCCTACTACCCGCTTTCCACGATGCTGCGCGAGATGAACGGAGGTCCTATTTCCGGCCGATATTTAAATCCGAGGGGGACCGAATCCGCTCGACCTTAACCGAAGCGTTCGGGTCCGGCTGTCACATTCGTGGCGTACCGAATGCTCGTCTCTCGTGGCGGCGACGGCGGCGGCGTAACGCGTTAATGAAAATGGCAACGCGTCGCGACGCCATGTGGCAGCCTCAACGGAATACGTACGGCCGCAAATTGCGCTGCTTTATCAATCTGAAATAACATCGGCGCGGAATAATTAGCGACGACGCGAAACTTACGAGGACTTCATTGACCAATGGAAGGATCATGTTACGCTGGCTGACATGTACGTTCGATTCTGTAAAGTATTGTAAACGTTACGACAAATTACACGTTACTGGAGTGATACTATAATTTTGCACGTTTTATTATAGATAGGCGGATGTATATCTGAGAGAGAGAAAGAGAGAGAGAGAGAGAGAGAGAGAGAGAGAGAGAGAGAGAGAAATAGTGTTCAAGAGATTACAGAGATTTCATCTTGATAAGCAACGTAAGTTATTATTATTTACAAAGTCTTATTATTTGTCTTTATTATTTTGTCAAAGAAATTCATGAACATTATTTGTATGTTACATATTATGATATCTAGTGTTTGTGATGTCTCAATATATAAATGTTTTTGTCTTTTGTATGGTGTAAAACTTAAAATTTTGTAAAGTGTTTTATAAATCGAAGATATAATATTGCATCAGAGATATAATATTTGAGAGTCAGCATTCTAAAGTTTCTTTAAAATAAAAAAATTACAATATAAGAATAATAAGAAGGAAATTTTTTAACAGTAAAGATATATCTCACATGTGTATCTAAAAAATAAAAATGATAATGGA